TAATTTTATATATTGGAGGTTAAATGATTTTTTCTTCATGTGCACACTCCTAAAAGGTCAGTGCACATTTTAAAAAATTACTTTGGTTTTTAGGTGACAAAACCTCCCATCTCTGGTCTTTTCCAAGATGATTAAAAGGTAGAAATGCAGATATTCCTTGAAAGTCGTATTTCAAGTTTATGAATATCTTTTTTCACAGAAATGTGGTATAAATGTTGCGTTGTGTTGAACACTTAATTTCCCCAGTTTCTAAGCAAATCGAAATAATAATGATTTCTTAAAATTAGTCTCTGATGAAACATTAGCTATGAGAGTACGCTAAAAACAATCCCTCTGCACAAAACTATTCCCCACCATATATTTTCTTCTTGAATGCTATCAATTTCACTCTCCCCACTGACTTTATTCACTTTATTTAGTTCTCTAACGCAAAATTGCTGAGAAGTAGTTATCGTAATTTCATCTATATTGATAGTGCTGATATTTTGGAGTATTTACTTTGAGACAAAAATTAGTTTGGAATGGTTTTTCTGATTACCTGAAAGCATCGTGATGGAGTTAATCTGATGAATCCTCTCATCCTAATGAGCATGTTTTAAAAGAATAGATAGATTCCAATCTAAAAATTTATATTTATTTTCACCAAGAATTAGAAGAAAAAAAGCCTGAACAGCCACAAGTTCTTGTGCTTTAAATATTAGTATAGGCTGTATACTGGACTCAGTCTGACAAGACCATGAATGGACATCACTGTAAAAAGGATTTATATTCCTTGACAGACTTACTAAACTCTGATTTTTCACTTTGACCCTCTTCCAAAAGCTTCCACTCCATAACAGGAATGACTGAGCAGGATGTGTTAGCCTATATTACCACAGACCGAAGCTGCCTGCCTGAAAAAAAAAAATTGATTAATACAAAGATGGCTTTACACCCTGTTTTTGGAGCACAAGCTGAGGTCCCCAAGTGACATTGTACCATGTTGATTTAACTTGCCCACTCACCTGGCACTGCTCTGCATTGCTACAGCACGACACTGCACTGTGTCATGGGGAGCTTTGGCCACAGGCCTTTTCTGCTCCTATAAACAAGAGATTAAGGGATGCAAAAACATGTTTTCATCCCTCTGGTGGCTGTTGTGAAAATAAACCAATTTAAAGCATAAAAAGCACTATCAAATATTCATTATTTTTAATGATTACAGAGTAATAATGTACCAAATAACACATTTAAGCAGAAGAAAATACAGTAAATTAAATACTAATGATCTGTATGCCCGAGTTAAAGCTACAGGTGGAATATTTCCATTACCTTGATTATGATAAGGTCCACTGGGCATTCTTCAAGTTCTGATTAATAGCACTTTTTAATACACCTATCAAATTAAAATACAGAAAATGCTCACAGCATCAATCATACCCATTGGTCTGCAACTTTCATCTCTTATTTTTGGGAGAGGGAGAAGACAGTGAATTACAACTGTTGTGGCTCATGATGGTAATGATAATGATGATGATTATTGACATTATTATGCACCTTCACAGACATGCTTGAAGTACAAGTTGAGGGAACTTGGCAAGTGTGATTCTTCAGAGTGAGAGAACATCATCATGGGCTATGTATATGTATGATGGATATGCTGAAATTCAAATTGACTAGACATATTTTGAGAATTCATAATTTATATACTACAAACGCAGCCACATTAAATGTAATCCTAGACTGTTCTTCAAACGCAGATTTTGAAAGCCGTGCAAAAACATTTCTAAAGACATGAAATTCTGCTGTTGAATTAATTGACATTGCAAGGAAAGAGATGTTTTTGTTTCAAAGGAGTTTTCTGTGTGTTGTCTGCCATTGGGGAAATCTACTGAAACAAGTAATTCACAATGGTTCTTTAGTCTACAGATGTTCTGAAATAGGATTTGTGACTCAGCAAACCATTCATGGATTGAGGCTTCCTCTCATGCAATTAAATCTTCTCTTTTTAGATAGGGATAAGAACCTCAGGAAATCTAGGAATTAGACAGACAAGGCTCCCACACTTCAACTACATTCAACTGTGTTCTGTCCCACACCTCTCACTTCAGCAAATTACGAGCACATGTGCACAAATGCTTAACAAAGTATTTCCTGGTTCAACTTTACATGAGAGGCATATCTCAAAGGAGCAAAACCACTCTGTGAAATGAGATTACAGTGTTGGATTGGGTTGATGTTTGGTAAATTTGTTCTTCAATGTGTGCATCACTGTAGAAAGTTGATTAACTTATAGTGACCAGTAGCTTTACTTGACATTGCTAGCTCTGCCATCTTTCTGTGTACAGTGTTAGTCAGATAACTTATTTCCTCAAAAAATTAAAATTAAAAAAACCCCACCACTCATTGCTAATATAAAAAATAAATACAATCCAAAGGCAAGACTTACCCATCATGGCTCCATTTATGATAAATACTCATATTAACTGGGCATGAATTCTCCATTAAAAACAGCAATTTGGTGAAGTGAACAGGATTCCAAGGCTGATAGGAATTGCAGGCATCCTGCTAGGTCACAGCTGTAGAAAAGCTCACTTTCTGTGCCTCTTATCTGGATAGTGCAGCTTTCAGAGGCATTTGTGTCTTCTAGACCCAGAGAAATTAAGTTGTATAAATAACTCCAGCCTCATTGCTCTGAGGTAGACTAAGGAGATTACTGGACTTTTTTGAAAAGGGAAACTGACTGTCGGCCTTTTAGGGGAAGAGAAAATTGATTTCCCCAACACTGCCTCCTCCCCTCCCCAGTTAAAGGAAAATAAAAGAATAAGAGAAATTCAATAACTCTATAACTACAAAAATTATGCTAATTCAAGCATTTCTTCAAATATGACTGTTACCTTTACTATTCAGGTAGCTGGGTGCAGGGCAATTATTATTCTCTCTTGCCTGCTTAAAGAGATCTGTTTCATGCTACAAAACAGTGCTGTATATCCTAAAAGCCTATTTTGAGATGTACGAGCCAAGAATTTTACAGCAGGTTAGCAATCTGCTACCTTGATGTCCCAACAGATTCTGAAAGCACAGTAGTTTGTACAAGGTGACAATAATCTCCTTGACAACAAAAAAGCAAGAGCAAAGTAAAGAAAGTGTTTAGTCCAAGCGATGTGTCTTTTCCCTCCTCATGAAAGAGAGTAGAGTTCAAAGTTTTATCCAAATTGTTGTTTCTCAATTTCCATCAGTTGGAATCTTCTCAGTTTAAGTGAACATGTTCCACTCTTAAAATCCATTCATGCAGTAGATGATGCTCTAATCATAGTTCCCAAAATCTACCTGGCGCTTATAGACTAAATCTACTCGTTACTCTGTGCCACAGTTTCCCACTTGGTAACTCTATATGAAGATCCTTCCATTCTGATCTGTGTTCTTCACTCAGGAAATAACTGGTGAAAGACATCTGTGAATAACACTGTGTGACTAGTGACCTACATGTAATCATACTGTCTGGGGAAAATAAACACTAAGAAATAATAGAGATTATTTCAGCCAAAAATGGTTCTTAATTGTATTTATAATTTGATCACTCCATGCACATACAAAATACATCAAACTCATAATGAAAAAAAGCAGACAATGCCCCCCAAATATACAAAGAAGCATTTTAAATAACATTGTGTACGAGCACATTTGTGCATATCCTTCCGAAATACATAGTCACGCTTTCTCTTCTTCCATAGATGTCAGAGCACTCTTTGAACAAGACCTTGTAGTTCTGAATTCTCACAGACATTGCAACCATGAAATGAACTAGGTGTAAGCTAAAAATTTGAATTTTAAAAGGTAAACAAAGGCATAATGCAATTTTCCACATGTAACCACTAAAGGGATGGGGAGCTAAAAATACACTCATATTAAATCCTGATCTCCATATCACACAGTTTCCACCTGAAATCTCAGAAAATGAGACACAAAGTTATATTTTTTAAGATGAGACTGGATGTGGCACTTAGTGCCATGGTCTAGTAACCATGGTGATAGTGGATCAAAGGTTGGACTTGTTGATCTTGGAGGTCCTTTTCAACCAGGCGGGTTCTATGATTCTTTGATGTGTTCCATGAGGCTGGGATGCTGTCACTCTTTTCTAATAGTTCATTAATGATACATTTGGCACCAGACACTTGCAAATTAATCAAAAAGTAAAAAATAATTCCTATTGATGTTTAAAAAAAGTGGACTCTATAATTCATCAGAAAATTATTTCAGTAGTGTTTTAAAATTATGTTATTTCCATCAAGGATGTCAGTGAGGATTAAGTATAAATCAGGGATGCTTGTTCTGTACATGTTCCCTGCCACAGCCTTCTGTGACAATACTTTCCATACAGCTGCAAACAAACACAGGATCCTAACTACAACTGAGTTCCATTAAAGTGTCACAGAAAATTGAATTCATCCAGTCTCAGATCAAAGTTAGCAACTGCATGAATTCATGTAAGGATGTGCAGAGTGTCTGGTCCCATCTCTTAGACAGATGTTCTGGATAAACAAAGTGCAAACTCTCAGACCAACTGATTTTCTTAACAGGCTGATGGAAAGATCTAACTGCTGCTATGCCCACACAAGGTGATAGCACTGTTTTCCTCATACTCCAGTTGCTGACAGTGTGCCCATGGGCCCTTTTCAAGCACCGGGACAACCTCTACTCTCAGAGGAGCATGGCAGAGCTCCCTGGTCCTGACAGCAGCTGTGAGCTCCTCTTACAAATAGCCTATTTGGAAAACAACACTGGGTTAGCCCTGATTGCTGCATTTTTTAACACAGTAAACCACAAGCCTCCGTTATCCAGGCTGTTAATTTCCACTATTTCCTGATTAGAAGTTGAAGCTTTTTGGAGCTGATGAATTCCTTGTATATTTTCTTGATGGCCAAAAATCTGTATCAACTTGGCTATTTCCATTACTGGCATCATATTCTCAGTTTAGGAATTAAGTAATTTGTGACTCATTTGTGTTTATAACTTCCCTATTTTTTTTTTTTTTAAATTTCCAATTTAAAAAAATCAGTATACATTTCATATTGTAATATAGATTTCTCAGGTAGTGAAATACTAATTTTTGTGCATTTTCTGCATCTGTTTTTTTGTAGTTAAAGACAGAAAGATTTTTTTTTTTTTAATAGTAAGCCTTGAAAGATTGTAAGCAACTTAGTTCTTTTGTTCTCCCCTGGTATCACTCACAACAGCAGCAAAACAGCCCTTTAGATCAGAGATCACATACCAGAAAAAGATTTAAGTGAAGTAGATCCTGAAACTACAGAAACACAGCTGTATAATGCTGTTCTTGCTTTTAATCTACATTGTAACTTTTTATGACTGCGTTTTACCCCAAAAGCACGTTAACAACATAAAGCATCACTTTAAATGCTGCCTTTCCAGTATAAATGACTTCCAACACTACCTTCTAAATCTGTGGATTTAGCACATGGAGACTAGAAGTGTCTGCTGAAAACAAACCAGCTGCGGATCTCGGTAATACTTCTCTGCTTATACACATTTCTTCAGTAAATGAATTTTAGTATCAGGTTTTGCCTTTTTTTTGCCACAAGAGGGCGATCCTTTAATTCGTGTCATCACTAATGCAATGTACTAGACACAAGATGGACTCGTTTTCTATCTAAACCATTATTTCAACTTCTTATATAGATAAATTGATGAATTTCATTCTGTCTGTGTTCTCAGCATGCATTTGACTTACATCAAGTTACTAGGTAATATTATTTAGCTGTGAGAGCACATTGCACTCCATAAATGATTGATATGAAAAAAAAAATTGTGGGAAGTAAATAGGATTTCCCTTCATTACCTTTAGAAATAGCAATACACTATATTAACATAACTCGTTCTCAGTGATAAACTCAGACAGGTCACAATCAAAAGGAAAGATCTTAAGACGTGCCATTTTCAGAAGCTTGAGAAATTTGTGAAACAAAGAAATGTGTTATACTTTTCATCCATTTGTGAATGCTTAGCTATTCGAATTTGTTAAATATACCATCATGTGCAACAATATACAGCACAAGCACGGTCCACACAGGAGACTGATTCAAGCACTCAAAGTCTGAAGATTGTCACGTCATCCCTAATGCATTGACTTAGAACCAAATAGCTGAGAAGATTTCGTTTAAAATGCTTCTAAACAGTCATCATGTGTACAATATAACTTACCATAGCATTTTTTTCAGTCCCAATATTTTATATATATAAACCTGTGTAATTTACTCAAATCAAGACTGATTTCTCCCTCTTAAGTCCTTTTGCTCAGAAACAGTGGATGGATTTTGTCCATCAAGAGTCAGCTATGTTCCTGGGCAACCGGTAATGCTCTTGTCTGATCTTTGCCTTCTTCTCCTGAGGGTTGGCATATTTCCACTTGGAGGGAGACATTTTCAACTTTTTTCTCTTCTTATCTGTACACCACACTTTTTCACAGTATTCTTCCACCCTCTGGAAGTTGCTGTAACCTATTAGTTGAAGAAATTCCTTGTACCATGGTTTTGATGCCTGAGGTATACTACTCTGCATTGGGCATGGCATTTTGTGAGGTATCTCCTCCTCATAGTCTTTATTGAACATTTCATCTACACGTTCTTCCTCGACTACTTCCAGGGTGGTTTTCCTCACAGTGTGAACAATGCTGTGTTCCACTGTCTGACAAAAATAAGTCCCTGCATCCAGACGATGGAGCTTCAGGAATAAAAGTCCAAGGTCCATTTTGATTATTCTGTCATCTGTCTTCACCTGAAAAAAAAAAAAAATGATGCAGTTATAGAGCACAGGCCTTTGGTATTACATTAAACTAGTGCAGTTATTTCTGAACTGTACTTTCATAAATCTCATATTAAATTTTGAGAGGAAGATTAGAGATCCACAAACCTTTAATTTACAGGGCTTTCTTAAAACAAAAATATTTACTTGAAGTAAAGAAGAGATTGAGCTGTGAAAGGAAAGCAATCTAAAAAATCTGGACATCATGGAAGAACATATAGGGGAGCAGACAGTTTCCTGTTTTCCTAGCATGGTTTAGTCACTTGTGGTTAAATCACAGAGGGAAATAATTTAGAAACATACAAATAATCTACTTAATGGAAAACAAATGGGCATTTGTCAGCTGATCTGTGATAAGTGTTGCTGTGAATTCTCTTATACACTGGTATGGTAGGACCACTGTGATCTTAAGCCTCTACTCTGAGCTTGGTGTTTAAGTTCCCCCTACACCTCCCCAGGGCAGAGTTGTTGACTATGAGGATTTCTCAGATGATGGTGAGTGGGAAGCACTGAGCTGTCTAATCCAGGAGCAGGAGCGTCCAGGAGAATGATATCCTCAGTTTTTTATTTAACAATAAGGTGATGAATTTAAGTAGAAGTACTGGGTGATGGGGGGATCAAGAGAAGCCCCAAAGAGACGGACTTGGGGTACTGGGGGATGAGAAATTGGATAAAAGCCGACCAGGTTCACTTGCAGCCCAGGAAACCAACTGTATCCTGGGCTGCATAACCACAACAGTGTGTCCAGCTCTGAGGTTCCTGGTTAGACATGGACCTGTTAGAGTGGGCCTGAAGGAGGGTCACAAAACTGAACAGAGGAATGGAGCACCTCTTCTATGAAGAAAGACTGAGAGAGCTGGGGTTGTCCATCCTGGAGAAGGAGACTCTGGAGAAACCTTATTGTGATCTTTCAGTACTTTCAGAAAGTTGGGAACATTTGACCAGGCCCTGTAACAGGACAGGGGCAATGGTTTTAAACTGAAGGAGGGTAAAATTTAGATTGGACAAAAACAAAACATTTTTTTACTGTGAGGGTAGTGAGACACTGGCACATGTTGTCCAGAGAGACTGTGGTTGCCCTATTCCTGGAAGTGTTCAAGGTGAAGTTGGATAGGGCTTTGAGTAACCTGGTCTAGTGGAAGATGTCCCTGCCTATGGCAGGGTGTTTGGATTAAACAATCCTTAGAGGTCCCCTCTAACCCAAACCATTCTGTGATTGTATGATTCTACCATTCTACTACTTTTTGCTTTTCTTTGTCTTTTTCTAATAACCATGTAGTTATTCAGGTTAAATGGAATAACTTTCACGGGGAAATACTAAAACAAATGTTTTAATGGGATTAGAAATTAGAGCCTATTCAAATTTACACTTATGATGTCCATTGTCTAGTGGGTCTAAAGGGATGTGTATATAGCAGGACATCCTCACCACCTCACAGTTTTATCACTTTCTGTAAAAGACCTGATTAATAGTTCTGTTGTAAGAATGTTTATGGATAGATAGGGATCTTCCAGCTAAATACATGAGGAATTGCCAAGTGTGAAAAACCATGTAGAGATTAGGGACTTGGACAAAACTGTGGGAAAAAAATGTGCCAGAAATAGGGATGACATTCATTTTCCTTAAATTTAGATATTTAAAGCAGAGCGTGTCATCCTTGGATATTTTTATGTTCAGTGGTTTGCTAGTAACTTTTTACCTGACCAAAAGGTAATACCACTGGCTGTAAGTCCATCATCTAGTCTGACTTCAAAGGCAGCCTACATTGACTAGCTCCTAGGTAGATATCTTTTTCATAAATGTCCATATTTTCTGTCAGGGGAGTCCCATTGCAGAGATCTGCAGATGTCTATGGCTAAGCCTGGGTTGCACATTTGCAGTAGAGCCTAGCTGCTAGGCAGTAAGGCAACTATCCTTATCCTTTGGTAGTCCAAGGCTTTTCTTCCTATGTTCTTCCATATTCTAAGTGGGGATAGATACAGTGATATGTATTAGAGAGGTATTGAGGAGTAAATATATTAACACTTATGGAGCATTTTCATAATAGGAAAATACATGTAAAAGAGGCAGAGAATCCACCAATACTCATTTACAGAAGATTCTGTAATGTAACAGGTGAGGTAGCAGGAATGAATGGATGTTGAGCTACATTAACATTGGAAGTAATATGTTCATATTTCATCCCTGCAATAACATACCAAAAAAAGTGGTGGATTCTCTTTTGTTTTGAGATCTTAAGTAAGCTTCACTACATTTCTAACATCTGCATTCAAGATGCTAAATGCAAACACCAGATGAAGTTCTCAGGTCTATTAATTCAAGAGACCAGATGAACATAATGATTTTCCCTGACACATACATTTCAGCAACTGGTGACAGGCCTTTCAGTGAAGATGTAATATTCCTAACAGCAGACTTTTTTACTGAAATAAAGATTAGTATACAGGAATATTTACCTCTTCCTTCTTAGTTTCATGTGCTCGCTGGACAAACCAGATTACTTTTGCTTGTAAGGTCCGAGGGGTGCACTCCAAAAGGGTGCTGTTGTACTCTATTCCATAAACAAGTCGCTCCTCAGTCTTCTCCAGGACTTCACCTGGAAGGAAAATAAATGCTTCAAAAATGTGTAACTGCAAATACTTGTTACACTCCATATTCAGGATATATTTACTTTTAAGAGTGAAGCTTGATTCAGATCCAATCAGATAGTGACTGAAAAGTAATGTCTAGTGAAGATCTGACTTGCTAAATAAATATTCCCATCATCGCAGACTTTCATAGCATCTGACCAAATTGTGCCATGATTCACCTAAAGTTATACACAGAGAAACAGATTTCAGCCTTTCACACTGTTAATTGCTTGGGCCTGGTTCTTATGAATAGTTAATTTAATTTTCACTCAGTGAAACAGAAAGATTCAATGTATGTTTAAATATAACAAATAATTCAATTTTTTAGGGGTACAAACAGAGCACGAAACCTTTTGCAAAGCGAAACTCTGAAGAACTATAAATACTCTAACCAATATTATACGTATCCATGTTACACATGTGTAAAATGAAAGTATAGTTTTGGCCCAACGGTGCTAATAAAAACAAGGTGAGTGAATTTAATCAAAACTCAATTCTGCTTTTCCATTCAACAAAATATCTGGAGGAAGATTAGCTAGTTGTTACACTGGAGGAAACCAATGGCCTCATTAATGAAATCATCTTATTCCATTGTAGTGAGAAAGATTCTTGAGACCAATTAGTTTTATACCCTAAGAAAATACACTATTCTATATGATTGTGATTTCTCTGTTGTATTTTAAACTTGCTGAATAATTAGTGTTTCATATTGGGATATACTTTTCCAAAATGTACTATATCCTCCAATAGGTTTCAATTTTAACAAAGCTTTCCCACGTAAAATATCTATCTAATATTTAAAATATTGTTTCTCTGGTTATGTTTCGAGAAGAACCTCTTATGGTTTATTTCTTTTCCTCTATCAATGTAATGTGTTATCCTGCCAAATACTAAGGATATCCAGGCACCTGTTTTCTCTCTGTTTTCTTATTCCCAATACCAGTGTTTGAAAACATCACTTTCCAAGGTTTGGACAACAGCATTAGACACAATAATCTATCTTTTTCTCAGTTTTTTTTTTTCTTTCTAGTGTGTGCTTTTTGTTTTTTTGTTTGTTTGTTTGTGTGGGGTCATTTGTTGTTGTTGTATGATTGATTGGTTGGTTTTATTTTTTGTTTTTGTTTTTGGGTTTTTTTCCCCTGTTGTTGTTGTGGTTTGGTTTGGTTTTTGATTTTTGTTTGTCTGTTTGTTTTTAGAGCAGAAATCTTGATAATAATCATAAATACATATTTTTGTCCTAGCATATGATTACTCATGTCTGTGCTATGGAGCTCCTTCAATTCTGGCTAAGTGTCCTGACACTATTTCGTATCCTTTTCAGGATACAGCCCTGTTATTTCTGATACCTGCGCCATCTTTATGCTTTTGTTTCTCTTCGAATCCATTGAGATTCATTATCCACATCTTTAGTCTGAATAGCAGCGCTGCAGGACCACATGAACATTATGGGATGCACCTGAAACAGTAAATTCTTAGACCTGGATGGTGTGGGCTCATCCCCACAACTCTTATAACAGTATTGAAATATGCCAGTAAAAAAGCTCAGGTGAGATTGTGGTCTGGCTCATACACTTGGCAAAATCTGTACTGTCTGTTCCAGGCATTTACTAGCAATTTGTAAGTGTTGAATAGATTACCAATGAACTGCTGGCCAAAGCACTGCTGCGCTGCATTTCCATGCCGAACATCTTGTCTGCGGAAACGTCTGGAGGGAAAAAAATGGAATTGTTTGAGAGAACATGTTTAACTTAAATACTGTTGTGTTATGTTAAAGTGACAATAGTTATAAACATAAGGAGTTAATCCTTACTTGCTATAAAAAATTAACATTGCCGTGAGAAGTACTCATTTATGTATTGGCATTTTCTCTCTACTCAACCTACCAGGAATCATGTCTGAAAAAAACCCCCACATTTATTTGGAGAAGAGGCACAACTGTGTATCCAGTTTATACATAACTACACAGATGTTATAAATAACAAAGCAAGATCCTTTGAACCAACTGGACATCATTCAGTCAAAGGGACCTTTAGCCTGTATTTTGGTTCTCTCTCTCTTTGGAAAACAAGGAAATTTTCCTTTTTTAATTTAGAACAGTTTCCCATGTATGTGACTGGTATTTCTTTTAACCTTCACTCTTGTGTGTTTTTGTTGTTTGTTTTTTTTTTTAATGGGGAATCTCAAAGCAGAGAAAATACTTTATTTTATTTTACCTTTGTAACAGACAGTTACTAAGTTCATTTTTCTCAACAGAGAAAGAGACAGATTCATGATTTACCCATACCTAGAAAGCAAACTAGTGGCAGAACTGTAATCAGAACCTGGGAGCCCTGGTTTCCACGTGGAAATATTACAAGTGCTTTTGAGAGAAAAATCAGTCTGAGTTTTGAGGTTTGTGTTTTTTATAGGTATTTACAGAAAAATTGAAAACCATGATTATATGGTGCATTCCCAGAAGAATTTTGATTTTATATGGCTTTTTTTACCTCTGAGTGTCCTGATAAATAAGATTAAAATTGCTTACTTGGGAAATAAAAGAGCTTATTGGAATGCTATACCTTGCCAGATGTTGCATGTTCTACAACATGAAATTTAGTTTTACTAAGGATACTTTTCCTATATTTGCATAAAGAATAATTCTACACTGTATTGCCAATGCCATACATAACAGATTAAGAAATATGCAGTGCAGCAAATCTCACACAGCAGGCATGTGTACAGTATAAATTATAGATGCTAGAAACAAGTAAAGCCAAAGAGTTCTGTTATTCTTTGCATTTACAACTGAAGTAATTTTTCTCTCCGGTGCTGAGTGAACACAAACACAATTTTTATTTGGTACAAATAGAATTTACTGGAACCATGTAGATTTACACTATTTAAAGATCTTGTCCATAGATGTTACTCATCACATTTCTAACCTGGCAGTAGATACCGATTCTTTTCCAAGTTCTGTCACCCATATGGACTCCTGATCCAGGAGTGCTGGTGGACCAAGAGGACAGCTTTAACCTCTACCGATATTCAGAGAACTAATGTTTTACCATTGTTTTTTTTCAGGGGAATCTCCAAATTCAGTGGAGCCTTTTAAGGAGAAAATCTAACAATACATGCATGTTAATAAACAAAACTGGAGATTCTGAGGTAGCAACTGGGCTTTATCATGGCCTGGGAGTTGTCATTGCAATGTATGGATGTTGCAGCCATGCCTACTGATAACTCTGCAAAGTGTCAGTGCTGAATAATGATGCCACCAAGTTTGTATGTCTGTGTACACAGATTGCTCGAAGGAGACATTGTCTTGCACAGATATACATAAACTCTGTAGGATATGCATTAGCCTTGAAAAAAAACAAGCAAGAAAACCCTGTTACCGTCAGGCCCAGCAGCTCTATCTAGCAGGAACTGGACAGGTGGCAGGCGTGTTCTATTTAGTCTGCAGTTCCTTATGATCCTTGTACAGCTAAAAAAATCCTAGTCTTGTAAAATGGGATTATTTCTCCAGTTGTCAGAACCATTCAAGAAAATAAAATGTTTGTTTGATGGAATTTCGCTGTTGTGAGTGTGAAGACTGGGGAAGATATATTTACCAGTGTCTTCACTTGCTACTTTCCTGAGGAGAACAGAAAAATGGGACGAGGTGCTGCAAAGGAGGGAGATGGTGGGAGATAAACTCATTTCACAAATACTGACATAAGCCTGGTATTTTTTTTTCCTAGAAATAATTTTATTCAGAATTCTGTGAATAACAGACTACCAGGCAATCCCTGAGATAAACTACTATAAGCAATTTTCAGTGATTAGAAAATGTACTGAATGTATGGAAGTTCCTTTTGCAATCTATAATTTTGTGAATTTAGACTTCAGTCTGTAACTCTGTGCTTTCAGGAACTTATTAAAAATTATTTGCAAGAAAGGAATACAGTGGTCATCACCATCATTTTCATGATCCTTTATCATTTCCCAGGAATGGATGAGGCAAAGTTGAAAAGTCTCGAGGAGAAAAGGCACTGCTACAGTTTGCATAAGTTTGCAGACGGTGTACTTGCTGATGGAGTGGTTGATGGAGAAAGAGGCCAGAGAGGGAGAGGAGATGGGGGAGTGACTGTCAGCTTCTAAAAATTAGCTGAAGAATCACACTAGATCCAAGCTCAAAGGCATTTTAAAATTACTTCATCCCTTTTTCAGCCTAGACAGTGAGCTGTCAGAGCAAAGAATCTCACTTGTAGAATTTAGTGCTTATTTAGATCAAAACTGAACCTATCTGAGTCAGACTGCAGAGGTAATAGCTAACTAAAGCATTTCTGGACCTATACTTTCTCAAGTACACTTCATGAAATTTGAATGCAATAGAAATTCCTTCTGGTATCTGAAGTATTTGCAGTATGTAGGAGCCATACATCTGTAATTACAATGGAATTGGGGTGTGTTGTGCTCCGAGGATCAAGATATGGGATTTTGGACTCAGTTTTTATTTGTCTTTAATTAAATCCTACATTTAATTAATTTTATCCAGGCTATGCATGTACAAGGAATTATAAGAAAGACTTTCATGATTTGAAAAATTAGTCCCAGATGTCAAGCAGAGGGTTTTTCTATTTATGCTTCACTTCTCTTTAAATCCTTTGCATGCCTTAGTTTACAGATTTCTATTTAATGTTTCTCTAAACACTTGTTATACCTTGGAGACATTAGGATTTAAAGCATATAGCATTTGAATCAAAGTGGGGAGGACACACTGTACATCCCTGCCTCAGTTCAACTCTTCTCAGTAGAACTGGAATTAAAAAGAGAGCTTTGAGCAGTGCTCTTACTCACCAGCAGCACTGCTCTTACAAGTCAAAAGTCCACCTAAATATACAGTATGAGTGCCACATCTGAGCAAATAGAGGTGGTGTTAAGGCCAGCTCAAGTGTGTTGCAATGTAAGGCACAGCTCCATGAGTCCCAATGAAGGGAGGGATGTCAGGAACATGTGAAATCAGTGGTCTCCTATGCCCATTGCACTCACACTACAAGTACCACCATGTACAGCTTGAGCAGGAATCTGGAGTCCTGGACAAGACCAAATTAATATATGAACACTCTGGGATGTGGCATTAATTCTGTCTGGAGTCCAAGGAGGCCATGGCAGGGTTATCAGCTGCTCAGTGCCACTTGGTATCAGAAAACTCCAAGTCTACCAGGACCTACCTTTTCCAGCAGTGCTCCTCACCTGGTATTTGATGGGAAGCAACTTAAGACAAGTTCCCAACATGCTCCAAGCAGCTCTCCTGTCTCCCCACGTACCAGTTAGTGTAAGCTCTTAAATTTAAAATGCTCTGAGCTTCAGCTATGAGCTAAAGTGAACAAAGTAAATGCCATCTATGCTTCTCAACATTGTTAGTCTTTCTGGCTGTTCCCCAAACTCTTACATGTAAAACAAGTTTTGCAGACTTCAAGAACATTCAATTGAGTGCAAATCCCTTCTCCATCACTGCAGTGCTTATCTCAAGAGAAGGAGGGTGATAGCAACAGCATTTTCTTCTTTTAGAGGCTGACCTGCTGAATGTCGGGGGCACAAGGCACAGGAAGGTGCCTGGGGTACTGCTCGTATCACTCAGCCCTGGATAAATGCGTGTGTCAGGGGACTTAAAGGCTGCTACTCTGGAAATTGTCTTACACAAAAAATATGCTAAACATGTACAACAAAGTTCAGGGTAGAGTGAGTTTCTCTTATCTTTTCTTGGACAATAAGTAGCCTGTAGAACAACGTAAATGGCGATACTGTTAGCAGGCTGGCAGGCTGCTGGGAGATTTTTAAAGCCCTCTTTTCCTCAAATGAATTTTACATCATTAGATGAGTAACCCATATGCTTTATAATTATGATAATTCAATTTCTACATTTACTGTAGGACATTAATCTCCCCAGCCTACTATATAACTGCTCATATTTCTTAATCTGGGGCCTGAAAATTTTAACCAGACTCATCTCACACTAAGCAGACATCTGGAGCCCACTATTTCCCTTTAGGTCTACTTGCAAGAGGCATGAGAAGACTATGCAATCCTGCTTGTAAAAATGATGTACATTTCCTGCTTGGTTTAACCTATGTCTTAGTGCAGTAAATACAAGAGATTCTTAATTATGCTGAGTCATAGACTGTGTTTCTCATTTTTACTTTTTAATTTGCCTTATTCAAAAAGTCATGTTACTCAAGGTAACATGACTGTATTAATTATATTTTAGAAAAATCTACAGAAATGTGTGTTGGGCCTGGCTATTCTCAGCCTGCATTTCTTTGAGTGCGTCCAGGTTCATGGAAAGATAAGATGCACAGAACCAAAAAACAAACAAACAAACAAAACAAAAAACAAATAAAAAAAAACAAAAACAAAACCAACCAAACAAACAAACAAAAACAACCAAAAAAGACATACCTTCCTGGTTTTCCTTAAGAAACAATAACACATTTGGGATACTATAACTTGATTTTGATTTGATCACCTCCACTAGTTTTCAAAACTCTCCCTAGAGGTTACTCAATTCATTATAATCCTTGCAGTCCTTTTAGGTCTAATTTATACTTAAGCATATATTTGCAGAACCAGTAATCGTAAAAAAAAACACAGAAAGAATTATACATTACAAAACTTTTGCTCACTCAGGTTAGAAATTACTCTCTTTAGGTGGCAGAGATGACTAGGTTTTGTGAAATGGTCTGGATTAAAACATGCGTGTTCTAGAAGCTTGATTTGTGTAGCTGAATTGCAGAACCTGGGTTTGAGAGGGAAGAAGACAGGGAAATGACTACAGGAAGGACTGAAGGTTAAGAACCATGAATAAGTGAATGGTGATAGAGAGGAATAGTCTCCCCAAGGGAAGAATTAAAGCACCTAAATTTTGTTTGTGCTTTGAACTGGTCTCTAGAATAACTTACCTTTCAATTCACTGCAAAAAGCCTAACCTAAACCTTAGCTTTTGCTGGTTTGATTTTGGCTGGTAAAGGTATTTGACTATTAACACAGATTCTTCTTAACTTTTTTTTTTTTAGAAATTCTACTATATATGTTAATGCAGTGTTGTATAATACATGTTGTAAAGCATCTTTTCTCTGCACGTGAAAAGATGTATAAGGAAATTAAGGCTTGTTTACAATGTATTGTAAATAATTCCTAAGTGACTTAGCTTTGTTCATAAAAATATTCCTGGTACTGCATTTTATACCATCCTGTGCATTTGTCTACTTGCAATCCCCTAAGGTTATGCTAATAAATTAGCAGCTGACGTCTCACTGTTCAGTTATTTGTATGAGGGGGAGATACGAAGTACTTTGTATTATAGTAGGAACCATTTATGCAGATATTTTGCAAAAAGTGTATCGAAAAACAACAGGTCTCACCTCTTTGCCTGCACTCCTGTGGGATAGTAACGGGAGCAGGAGATCCCATCCCAGGCACAGTAGGGATCTCGGGCGAGGCAGCAGTCGGCGCAGGCTGTGCCATACATGTCACACTGGTGGAACTTCACCTGTGTTATGACTGACTCGGAGCCAACATAGAGCTGTTGCTGTAAAAAATACACAACATAAGATTAAACTCTAGAATTCCCACTAAAACTTCTGTTACCAATGCAGTTATTAAAAAATGTTAGATTTATCCTTGCTTGCCAGTTGTGCATCCAGCCTGTGCCCTGAGGGAGGCACAGTTACTCTGTAGAAGAATATCTGATTACAGATTAAACTCTCCTACATGAGGACAGAGAAACAGAAAGAAAGTAAAATGAACAAGTTTGTTTTGGCATATCCTCGTTTCTGAACTTTCAGCTTTGTAAACTTTGTGTTTGAATAGGTAGGGGTTTACATTTCTTTCTCTTCATCAAGATATTTTCCAGTGCCTCCCTCTTCACTTCTCTGTCACCTAATTGATCTGCAAAAAAATCCCTTAACATAAAAGACTTTCAATGAAGAAGTTCAAATATGCAGGAGTTAAAAGCAAACTCAATTTTAAAATGGGAGTATTCAAGTAAATTTACCTCTTGATGTGGCTACTTAAAATGCGGTCACACATTTGCAAGCACAGTAGTAGCGAGATTTCTTTTTTTTTTCCTGTTGTGCAGTCTTTTCTTACAAATTAACCAGTCACTATCTACTTCTTTAATGTTTATTTGTAATGTTTGAGGTTCTTTTCAGGATTAGTACTAATGAATCTTTTGAGTTCACATGAATGTCCTTTTCAAATCAAATGACAGGTGGTCAAAATATTACTTCAGATGCTAGCACAATAATTCAGAAAAGAATAGTTTATATTTACAAGAATTTGAGAAAAAGTCTTGCAATTGATGAAGGTAAATTACCTGAACACAGAAACATGCAGTGTGGACTGCAATAGAAACTACTCATGTACAGCTCACTTCCACAGTTTTACCAGTCAGAAAAGAGATTCCTAAATTGTGCTTATCCTAATGGCCAAACTTAGTCCGTAATTCCCACTCTTTGACCAAGCTTTCAGAATCTGTTATTTTAAAATTACTTAACTCTGGAAAATACTGACAGCTCATTTAGGTTATGACAAGACACAAATTTTAATCCAGATAGTTCATTCTTGTTCCTAATTACACCTCTTATATCTGTTTAGATCACAAAATTTAACATTCAGAGATGCCAGGGGAAGAAACTAGGAGAGGTTGGTAACAGCAGTGCTTGAAGAATTTTTCTGCTGAGATAAACCAGATGATAGTAGCAGGAACTCAGTCTGCCAACTGGAATGAAGAAGAAACCTAGGATACTTGTTTTAGGGAAATTCTTTTTCTGCAAAGGCTGCATTATGATTGTCCCAGAAGACAGAAACAACACTTTCAATGAGACATATGAGATGGGATTTTCTCTTTCATCTTTTAGCAGAGGTAAAGACATCTCTAAGTCTTGGTTCACTGGAGGAGGGCAAAAAAGCAGCTGATATCTAGCCAACTGAACATCAAAGAAGAACATTCTTTGCCAGTTTCTGCTGGGATAAGTAGCTCAGCCCTGAAATGTGATATTTTATTGTACCATGACTTGGTGAAGACTGGTCAGTGTTATAAGGATATTGAGACATAGCCAGCAAGGAGGTCTCCACAGGCTCAGTCACTCCAAGTTGAAAGGAAACCAGCCCAAACGCTCAAGGTACACAATTTTTTTTCACATATACTCAGCTAAGTTATATTTCTGCTGATTTTAAAGGCAAAATGACTTGGTGCCAGCCCTGTCCCTACATGTATTCCAACATTTAATTGTCCTCAGTATCAGGAAACTGTATTCCATTTCTACATTCAGCAAGCTGAACTTGGTTATTAAATCTTATATTGTTTCTCCATCAATGTTCAAGAATCCCCATGCACACAGTAGGAAGTCACTTCACATGGTAAAATATATATCTGGCTCTCCTGTTCTCACTCAGTTTTTCTTTTTGATATCTTGAGAAAGTTAAGCTACTTTTACTTCTCATAAGAATTTTTTTTCTTCAACCACTGGATTGCTTTGGTGGCTTTCTTACAATTCTCTCCAGATTTTCCAGATATATCTTGAATTTGTGGAGTTAGCAGCCCTCTTGGAAGATGGATATAATAGAAGAATACTACTTCATTTTTTTATAAAGTATCTCCTTTTTAGTCTTGCAACATAATCCTTTTACCATGACAATTGACTGAGAGTTAAAGGTGAGGCAATTATCTGAAATGACACTGGCTCTTTCTCCAAATGATCACTTAGGTGCAGTGTTAGACACTCTAGTCTCCAGAGGTGATTTCACAGTCCATGGAAAAAGATTGATGCAGGAAATAATTCAGAATACTTAGACCCAAGATCCTCCTCTGAATCACCATCAGAGGATTTTTCTTTCTGCATTACCTACAGGAAGAATGTAAATTGGCTAGACACCAAAACTTAAATAATCTTTTGGGGCACACTCACACCTCCTATTAATGCAGTTGTCGTCCTTTGTTACTTCTGCTTCACTGTGTTTATGTGCAGCCATACTACACAGGATGTCTAACGTTAAGATATAACTATCCTTGGGTGTTTATTATGGTTTCATGCTGAGATGATATGATGATATAGTAAGGATAAGAATCTACTCACAAGAGTTATAAACTGGGTGTTTATTTTAGCAGAAACTAGCAGAAACTCAAAAGGGATTCAGATCCAAACAGCTCTACTGGGCACCTGACTATGTGGGCGACCCAGCAAGGTTTTTTTTGCACTGACATCCCCTTGGGCTGAAATCTATCTGCATTTATCAGAAAGGAACTCTTCTGTGAGTTGCCAAGCTAATCCCTACTGTGATTACTACGACAGTAACTCATGAAACAGATTGAGTTTTATGTGCCTTGATATGCATGACAGTGTAAACTAAGGATATTTAACATTAGAAATGAAAAACATGAGTGCTTTATAAAGGAACAGAGCAGATAACCATGTTTGTATTACAGGATTACATGTATCCAACCAGATCTCATTATAAATGACATACATCCATCTATCTATGCATCTATCTATTTCTATACCATTTACAGCTTCATTACATTGAGTCACAATTTTCACATTTCAAACATGTCAAATACTCACCCTTTTTGAAGAGATTTCCATAGAAATAATAGGAACTGGCATCTAAAAAATAGGAAATATTTACTTGCTTAGAAAAAAGAATGTCTTTTTGCTATGAAAATAAATTAGGTAAAATAGCATTGATATTTCCTTATTACATTCAACTTTGCAAGATACTTTTACTTCCTTTAAGGAAAGTGTGAGGAAATTGCGACTTTCAGAAGTATTACTTTAAAAGAGTTTATTTAAAAACAACCAGCCAACACTTAATTCAGGATTATCAGAGCTACAGGAACACTACAATTTCCCTGTCAAACATGACATTAGCTCTTACCACCACTGAATCTCTTTTGTCCTACTTGAGAGTGATAAGTGGAGTGTTCTTTATAACAAAACATTCATTGAAGATAAGATAAAAATAGCAGGAATTCCTTCTTTTACCATTGTCCTCTCTACCCTCTGCTCAGATTTCCTGGAGCAAGACATAGCCCCCAATAGGTCTATTGAAAACGAACTTTATCAAGAGAGGTAAATTCTGTGACTTCCACCCCCCTTCAGGAAACAAGTCAGTAGTTTTTCTGCCTAAATGCAGGTACCAGATTTAAATGTCTAACTTTTGATGTTAGAGTTTCCCTACAGTTTGAAGTAGCTTATCCTCCTGCTTTATGTGGCTATTGTGACCTGACATGAATGCTCACTAAGAGATTTTCATTATATTAGCTTTGTCACATATCAAACACTGAGCTTTAATCAGGTTATCCTTAAGCAGAATGGAGTTTTGCCTCATTGGGACTTAGGTTTGCCCACTGTAGAGACAGATTAACTGATTCAGCCTTTCTGAGGATTGGGCTGTTTCTGTCTGGACCTCATTTAGGTTTCCAAGGTTTTAGCAGGCACATTTTCATGTGTACAGTTATCCTCTTTTAATTACTTATTTGGATGTGAGGGAAAATGAAATAAAATGCAAGAAGTTTCTAATTAAAAGTCACACTACAACTTCCAAGCAAGTAAACAGAAAGACAGTAGTCCTGATTTGCTTCAATATGCTTCAGTACTTGGGCCATAACTCCACATAGAAAAACATCAGTTGAAAATGAAGATTTTCTGTCATATAATAACGATATAATTGACAAAATTTCTTGCACACAGCTATTATAGATTTGACTGCTTTCAGATTTTTTAGACATTTTAATTCTGCAGAAAATTCAAGACTTGTATATACACTTCATATACAGCACAGTTCACCTTGAATACTTGCAGCTCTTCAAGAATCACTTCTTCCATTGATTCTGTCTCTTGATTGTAAATTGTTATGACTTTCAACACAATGCCATTATCTGGAAATAAATTAAAAAGAAAAAAACCAAAACATACCAAGAGGTTATAATTGGAGGAAATATTTATATGTCCTTCAAATACCTTAAATGACTTCTTAAAATTGCTAATGGACAGAAATTTATAAACATGTACAGGTAGTTGTATATTGCTGTAATTAATGAGGATTCTTACTCTGAGAAAATAAAAAAAAAATTACAATTTGACCCCAGAAAAGAATAGTTAACTGAAACATGCCTAGGATACATGATTAATGGTATTTTTCAAATGCTGGGTCATAACCCCTTGGTGAACTGCAAAAGGATCACAAAGGGTGACCATATTTCAGAAAAAGAAATGGGAGTAGGCAGAAACTGAGTCCATTGATTCCATCCCATTGGAGTCCATTGAGGCAAGCAAGTGTAAAGTAGCTTTAATTATAGGATCTGACTGTTTACACTAGATAGGAAACTACTAGTGTCCTTAATTGCTGGCAGTAGCTCTGTTCCTCCAGGTAAGAGTAGGAAAACCTTCAGGGGTTCATTGTGCACAGTTCTCACTCTCCTCTAGGGAAACACTGAGCGGCTGTTGAGGTGAAGGTGTTAGTCAAAGGAAAATGAACTAAAATATCAAAAAGATTAAGGCACATTGGACTTTAGATTTATCAACCTCTCTGTCCCTGCAACTCTCTCAGGAAATTAAAACACATACATAGCATCTGGTCTTCCACTACTTCGGCTTTGCATTACTGGCTATTAATAGAACAGTCTTCCACTCCTTAATCTGAAAATCTGTCATCAACAATGGCAGACATCACTTCCTTTCTTCTGTTACTTTCAGTCACCTTTGATTTACAGGGGAAATATTAAGCAGGCAAGCACTGGGAAAAATGTTCAGCAAAAGATCAAAGGAGCAAACAAAGAGAGGGACCATTAAACTGGGGTCATACATCATTTCTCAAAGAGAATATGTAATCAAAGGCATCAATTTTGTGATGGAACAGTAAAAAGAAATTGTATTCCAAGCTCTGATTTTCATAAGTAAATCTCTCTTCAAATCCTGCTGACAGATATGTGAAAGCTCTGATGTTCAGACTTCTCCTTTGATGAACCTTTCTAACCTGCACTGCTACCCTAAGGAAACTTTTGCTCAGCTGTAAGACGTTGCTTACTTATTGTTACACAGCAGGTTGGATTTGGATTAAGAAAAATATTAACTCTTTCTAACATCATATTGTCCAAAAAAGTAATGAGTTTTCTAATGGGAGCTTTGTCAGAGTAGAGATTGCAGGTTTCATTTCAAAGTTTCCAAAACCCAAATTCTTTCGCTGGAATTTTTTCTCACCTGAGATCAGACAGCACACACTTAAGCCCCTTTGGATTTAACTTTGCTGAACAGAGGTCTTGTATACAAGAACATTTTAAACAATCTCAATCAGAAATGCAAGCAGAAAATATGAAAAATGTAGGCCTCATTGTAAAATATGCTGTACAGAAATAAGTGACACATCGTGCAATGTTTTATAGACTACAGTAAGTTCAATACCAAGACCATACTGCGGTCATTTAAAAGCTTAGAAAAGAACTCTAGTATAATAGCCTTTGCTATTCTACAAGTATATTTTTTTCAATATTCTCAACACTAAAATGTGCTTATCAGAGGAATTTCATTAGTAAAAAATAATTCACTGTAACTGCTTTCCTAGAGAAAATGGTCAAAATGATTTGTGAAACCACTCTTGTTGTTAAATTGATTAAATGTGAATGTAAGAATCCTTGGATTTTTTCCAGACAGATTAGATGTGACTAAAATCTTGCCTAGTTCCAGCCTTTCCTCTTATTTTTTTAAGTTTTCTTATTTTTCAAATACCATTGGGATATCTACTTTTTCTCAGTTTTCTTAGACTTAGTGAAGATCTATGTTATATTTTGCCTTAATTGTGTTTGTTTGGAAGATGTTTAAAAATTCTCTTTAAACAAGCTCTCTGTGTCTTAAGAAAATGGCACAAAAGAAAGACAAGAAAGCTTGGCAGGAAACTCCTAATAACTTTTTAAAAAAAAAACCTTGAGCATTTCCTTCTTCCTTCCTTGAGCTGTATTGTAACCCCAAATCTGGAAGCTGGTAGTTTCTTTTTAATGGTATCAGCTAGACTTGTGGTCTCCAGAACTGGGGAAAATAAACTGTGGAATAAAGCCAGTAACTTGAGCTGATATTTTTGAAAATCATATCACCTTTTTTTCTCTCAGGCCTCCAGGTCTCAGCTCAGATCTATGCTCAGATACAGGATTGTGTTCTGAAGTTTAAAAAATAAGGCTGGTTGTTCAGCAATTTAATTTAAGGTTCTTGTTGGAAAACAAAAGAAATTAAAATGGAATCCTATACTTAAAATTCTCTTCCTAGTCTTTAAATGTTTCCCTACCATTATTTTCCTATATAGTGTTATCATCACAGTGAAGCACAGGTCTAGAATGACCACTACCCTCTGTAAGGTGAAGACTGGCACAGCTGTGCAAAGTAAGATTGTTAAAAAGGCATGTTCCATAGATTTCCTTCATCCTGGAGACAAAAGAAAAATTATTAAATTTTCTTTCTTACTTTCTTTAATTACCTGTGCCAATGAACAAGACATCATACTGCCCATCTTCAGCTTCCACTCTGTCCACTGCTAGTTGTTTAAGATTGTACTTTCCATCTGTTTTAACTAGTATTGGTCTCTTATGAACAGGCCTGATGGGCTGATACATTAGTGGATGACTCCTGGCAAAATGGACAGCTTCATCAGGATAGTCTTTTGTGGTAGTGTACAGACCCCCATTCACCTTACTGGCACACTGAAAAAACAGAAAACAGATTATCCTGAAGATCTGACAAATAAATTGTTAGAAATAGGTCTTGTTTTCACAGGTAAAGACAAATCTACAGAAAACCTCACCTATAAACAAGCAAAGAAGACCACAGTAGGAATTGGGACAGTGAACTCTATGCATGTGTGGATTATTAATCATGAAAAGAAAGGGAATGTTGAACATAACCTTGGCATTATCATATTTAGAAAGAGGGAGTTCCTCCCTCTTTGGCATACTAAGAGAAGAATAAAAAGTACCACTTTTAGATTTTGACAAAAGACATAGTGCTTATGTCTTCCCCAAATTCATACTGAAGATGTAATCAAAATGGCCACTGACAGAGTTAAGAGAAAGGGGTTTCCTGTCCCAACATGCAGAGTCAGCAGAACACTAATACTTGAAATCAATCCCTAGTCTTGTTATTTTTTTGATTGCAAAATATATTGCCATAAGAAACTAAGCACATTTAAAAATTATGCCAGCAGCAACAGTAATTCTTGATTTCAGGCATTCTAACAGTATTATGTTTAATTCTAATTCCTAACTCACAATGACAGTATTATATATCACAGTTTAGCTTCAAATACCAATGTTTGCATTGATCAATCTATCAGTTTGCAAAGCAAATAAACTTTATGTCAATGACTGATTAAAAGAGGCTTACTCCTTCAGTCAAATGTGCAATTAGGGATAATTTAATGCACTAAAGAGAGAAGTTAATTTTAGGATGCTGTGTGAAGGAGATAGTGTTTCCCAACTGAACACAGATTCTACATTTCCAATTTGCTTCATGATGTCTAATTGAAACCATTTATGATCAAGCTGGAAATATCTCAGTAACCATTTACTTTCTCCAAACATTCATAAGACAGTGTGGTTTTAAAAAACATTTCAAGCAAAGCCACAGTAGCAGCCTTTTCTCTATTTAAATTGGATTTTTCAATCAATAAAATGAAATAAAATACTCTTTACGTTTACTGGAAACAGTAATTTTAAACTTGTGGTCAACTGTAATTGACAATAACAAACTCCTGCACTTGTCAAGTGGGGCAATGTTTGTTTCCACTTTCTGGGCTTAGCTACAGGAAAGTATTTGTTCAGTGTTGACTTAAAAGTAACTGTCTAATCAACCTAATGATGGAATTTCGCCGGCTGTTTGCAATAAAGAGACAGAGCTGGAGCATGAAGACAGGCTAAGCCTCTGCTTCTCATGCACTGCACAGTATATCAAGTGAATAGGCATTGCCAGGTTCCCTTTACAAAGTTCTAGTCCTGGAGAGATTTAATAAAAATAATCCTTCACAGGCTTTTCATTTTTAATTAAATAAAATCAAATAGTCTAGAAAGGATGCAGCTGTCTCTGAAGTGTATCAACACCACTTTTGATTTTACTGATGTCAGTTCCAGAAGCAGGACAGCCTAAATGAACTAAAAGAATCAGCAAAACAGGGCAGAGATTATGGCAGAAGTAGTGCAGTGGATTTCAGTCTGTCAGAACCTGTGCGACTCTTAACAATGGTTTTCTGTTTATTTAGCTTTAAGCCCTGCTCTCATTCCTTATAGACTTATTCTTTACTCATTCAATAGCTAAGATCAAAGAGTGCTGACTCTCAGAGATGCCTAATTGAAGGTTATTTTTGGGCTCTTGTCACTGTCATTCCTGAAATGGGAAAGATACTGAGATTCAGTTTACCAATATGCTGAGCTTTTCTTTGGAATTTGAAACCTAACACTTGGCTACAGCCTGAAACACACTTTCTCTTCATGCTTCTGGAAAAACATTGAAAAGACCTCTAAACTGTGCCCTAAATGAGCAGCCAAAAATGAATTAATTAATGCTTTTTTAGCTCGCAGAGCCAGCTAATTCAGCCTTTGATGTGCTCTGCAACATATAGAGAAAAACACAATTAAATCTATTAACACCCCAGAAAGACCTGGTTCCTCAGCTAATTTGTTCCGTGATATGGGGAAAATTACTTTCACTCTTCTGCTACTTTTCAGCTCCTATGCCTTGCCTTTTGGGGAGGCAACAATCCAGTCTGACCCAAAGGTGGCCAAGGGAGAGAAACATCGAAAGCAAGTGGAACTTAGGGCAGCATTTCTGTAAATCATTGTCAACTTTGTTGAAGTGCTGGCTCAGTGTTCTCTCCTTCTTGCCAAAACCCCACCATTTAATCTTCAGTGCTAGGAGATATCAATGTAATAACTGCAGTCATTAATACTGAATTCATGCCTGTGTTTAATGCTAGTCCAAATAACATATGTGAGGTGTTCTACTGCCTGGAAAAAATGAACACCACTTTAAGAACTTGTATCATCATTGTAAAATATACAGCCATTATGCAATCCATGTATGGTACTGTCTCATTATTAGGTAAAACTGCAAAAACTATAAATTCGATATACCAAAACTCAAATAGGAAACTAATAATTCCTTTGAATTCAACCATTTTTCTCAAAATGTGATAACTTATTTATCTGCTTTTCTATCCTCACTCAATACCAGTGACCTTGAAAAATGACAAACAAACAAAAAATTATTTGGTATTGATGTCAACACTTGCTACAATGGTAGTTCATTGGCCAAGATGGTCAAATCATATTCATAATGTTTAAATCCTAGATAATCTCTTTTTTGGAGCATCTGCTTCAACAATTTGACTTAAGTCTCTAAACTCAAGAGAAGTAGAGGAAAACATGAATTTAAAATGATTAATTTAAAATGAGTAAGGACATGTATTTGAAATCATATTACAGGAAGAAAGGCTGTACTGGTATGTAGTAGATAAGTTAATAGGCCTTTTCACCTCTCATTCCTGAGATTCAGTGATAAATTAATTGTATGCAATGCTTATTTCTGGAGATGATTGTGTTCAGTATAAAAGAGAATATTGAGTCAGTTAAGAGAAAGGACTGCTTCAGCAACTGTTTATTCCCCCTTTAAGCTCATGAGACGGAGCCCCCAGCCTGAGAGAAAATTAAGAGGTGAAGTGTGAAAACTGGGGGGGATTTAACCAAACAGCTGTTGCTGTCTTTGCATCTTGCAGAGTCAGAAATCTGCTCAATGCTGGCATGATAAGGGGTGGAGCTTCATGGGTGTAAACAAAAGCAGCTTTGCAACAGATGACAATTGCCATGGGTGGGTAAGTAGTTGTAATCCCCAAAGGTACAGGATAAAGAAGAAATCCTGGATGTGATGTTTCCCTGAGTTAGCCTGTCATTGCCTGCTGTGAGACTCCTCCTGACTGGCAGCAGGAAGGGGAAAGTGAGGAAGGCTCTGGCTCTACCTCTTCCATGAGATGGTGACGGGCCCCTGCAAAGCAAAGGGCACCCTCAACCTGCACCAACAGGCAGAGGAGGAGATGTGAGAGCCCTGGGACAGAAACTTCAAAAACACCTAGAAAGAGAGTGAAACAGGAAAAGGGTTTGAGGTAAAAATTACTTGTGATGCCTTTGAGAAACCGACACAGGAATTAGGAATGCTTTGTAGAAACTAATTACCTGCCTCTAAGCAATGAGTTCGTGATTTCCTCCAGAAATCTAAGTGCCAGACAGGAACAACTCTCTACATGACAGCACCTCTATAGTTGCAGAGTGTGCTACAAAGATTAATCGCAGTTTCAAAATATATTGTTTCTTTCCTTCACTTAATATCCATTGGAAAAAAAAAGAAATTATGTTTATAAAGAAACTTGAGTGAAAATTAACAAAAAGTATGAATGGTTTTGCTGAGTTTGGTTGTTTGCAATATTGTTTTAGTATTTCTGTATTCTTTGTAAAGGGTACAGAAAAAGAATGTTGATAAGATTGGAAACTTAAGGGCAAGCTTAAGGTGATAAGCTTAAGGGCAGTAAAATCTCACTCTGTGATGTCTGAAAGCAAACCAGTGAATTACAAGGGTGACAGACCATTGCTTCCAGAAAGAACCAGTCTTGAGAGAAGGACCTTGAATGATGGAGAATTTGCTCACTATCTACAAAAGCATTTATTCTGATTAGTGACTTTTATTAAAATTTATGTCTTATTTCTAACCTGTGAATTGATCTCAATTATAGAAGTATTCCAATTTGATCCTTTTGGAAAAAGAGGTGGAAAAAAGAAGCCAGAACCACCTGACTTTGAAATAGTGGATTCCTCTTTTGGATTTTCTTTTTTTTTTTTTTTTAATTTCCTTTAGTGCTTGTTAAATGTCCTGGTTTCATCAGGTAAAAGAAACAAAGTGAGGTTCCTTCACAGGTAACATGCTATTTCTGAATGCAATATCTGACCCACCTTCTAGAGGTGCTGCTTTCTATCCCTTTTACCTGAGGTTCTAACTTTGGAATCTTACAACTTTGACACAAGGTTGACAAATTCAAGTCCCAAGAGGATTTTGAAAAACCTTATATACTTAATCCCACTATTTTCCTTTGGAAAACATATGGGTCTAGTACTTGATTAACTTATGGCTGAGCCATTCCAAACTTTTCCAGAAATGCTGGAGTATTCAAGGAAGTATATCCTGGACTGTGAAGTCAGGAGATTTGTCCATTAGCAGCAGTCTGCTTTTTTTTTTCAATTTCATTTACATAGCAAAGCAAGGGAAAATAGACTGTACTTACTGAACCAGGTCTAGGATAAGGTACTTTTCTTTCGTAGAGAGCCCAGTGGTATTCAGGTCCTTCTTTATGAGCATATGGTCCATTGAAAGCTGCTCGAACACTTGCCATGTGGTAAACACATATAGCATAGCCTCTGAATATATTGCTATGAAGTGAAATTTAAAGACATTATTAAAACAATATGTCGAATTCTGCATAAATAATACTGGTTTTACTGTGCAATTAAAAATAAGTCACATTTCAACAGTATTCAGGGATAAAAAACTACCTATTCTTTCCTATATACTTTTCTTCTAAATATTGTGTGCAATGTTCTTTAAATGTCTTTAATGTGTTTATATTTATAACATTTCTCCAAGGAAGCTCTGTGTTGTTATGCCAAAATTTGATAACGGTGAACACAAGCTCTAAATTACTTGTTTAGAAACACAGAGGAAGCACAGTGAACTGAACTCAGGTTTTATATGTCTTTGATTAGTTATTTAAACAGTTTACCATTTTTCTTCTCTAACATTTTTCCTATTGTTTTTGCTTGGAAAGATGCTGACTAAAAGGAACAGAGACTAAAATGAGTCCTTTTTTTTATTGAGTGGGAATATTGGTTGATTTTATCAGTTAGATCAGAAGATCATTTTGTGTAGGTCAATCCACATAAAAGTTTCTATTTTACTTTTAAATTTTATTCACTTATTTCCAGAGAAGCAATTGGGGTTTTTTTGAGGGTTTTTTTTTGAGTTGGTTTTTTTTTTTTTTAAAGAAGAATCAGTGCTCTCTACAAAGAAATTATTTCTGAAGACTCCGGAGGGTGATCCAAATAATTTTAATTAGGTGCCCACTTTTCTCTACTGCCATTGGGAACCAGTAGGAAATGCCAGGTGTCCTCATAGCTAGAGGAGCAGATCTGACTTTGTTTATTAGAAAAAAAATAAATCAAGAGATAGTGGCAAAAGCACAGCTGATCTTTTCTACCAGTTACATCTTAAACTAACAGTTGGATTTCGAGGATGAGAGTACTATGTGCTTGCACTTGAACTAGGCTGCAGCGGAAAAGGAAGAGGAGGCCACCAGCAACATACGGTTGGTGCTTTAGGCTTCAGTAAGAAGTTAGTAGGAATTTAAGCTGCTATCTACTTAACCTTGAAATACAGTGGAGCTCTTAGGGTAAGACAGGTGACTCTGAGATACTGTTCTTACAAGCATGCAGGAGTGCATATACTTCGACACTAGGAAATTTTCGATCTGAGAATCACTTAATTAATTTGTGATCCAGATAGACTGAATCACTGAATGAGACTTCAGCCCCTGAGTGTTACAGAGCAGTTTTTACATTAACAAGGAAGCCCACTGTGACTAGAACGGAGATTAAACTGTTTACTGTATATTTGCTAAGGGATATGCATCATGCAGCTTCTATCTCTTTAATAGACTGTTCAAACATTCCTCCATGGCTGTTATTATTTCTTCTAGTTGTTTACCTTGTAGTGTTGAAAAGGCCAAATATCACTGGATTCTTGTTATCACGAGTTTGCAGCAAAAATACATCCTCTGTAAAATTTAAATGCAACATTATTGATAACAAATTACTTTTCCCAGCCACAAAAGAGAAACTTTATTGATTGTTAAAAGTATAATCCTATTTTACTCATTTATTCTATTTAATTTTATACAGATTTTAAGAACAGTCTTTAAAAACAAGGCAATACATAAAGGAGTAATTGGTGATAGCCAACTCCATACTTATAGAACTTGATATACATTGGAAACAAAACACTAACAATCACCCCCTGTTAATGAATAAAACAAGTACAATACTTAACAGTAAGGTGTGTTACCATGAAAGTGTATGTTTTTTCTTGATAGTTTTGAGTTTGTTGCAGTCTAGGATATTTACCTAATTCATCAAAATGTGTATCGATTCCGTTTCTCCCAGGCACAGAACAAACTAGCCTGGTTTTGAGGAAAGTGGTCCATTTATTGACGAGCATTCTCTGGCCTCCCATATCATTCTGTGTAGAAAGAAAGAAATGCCAATGGTAATTTGAATGAGTAAGTCTGGAAGCACAAACATCTCTGCTGAATTAATTGTTCATTGTGTCTTTTAATGCCAAAAGCATCCCTTTCCAAACCACATATCCATTACTAGTACTATTTCTCTGGAGTCAGTTTTCAAGTAGGATTGCACTGATCAAGTCCAGGTCTCATTAAGAGCTGTGGGTTTATAAGAATTTTTTAATTCTGTACCATATCCCTGGATAGTTTTAACTATACAGCAGTTGTAAAGCTTTCTTTTTATTGCTCATTTTTGTAAATTAGATCTACTAAGTATATTAGTGAAGTTTAACTTTGCTGTAAGAGCTCAGTGTAGGGTTAGTTTGACGCATTTGGAAACTGAAGGCCTGAATCTATCTATAGAGATGGTACAGCTGTGGTAACTATTGGGACTTGCAAGAAAAGGGAGAATTTAGTACTACTTAGCAATCAGATTTTTGTAACCTTCAGGTACCATCTTCAAACCATGGCCTTATATTCAGGTAGTCTGTGTAACTGGCTGTTGAAGGTTCTGCAGCAGGCTTGCAAAACTCCTCTCACAAACAGAAGTCTGTTTTCCTCAGACAAGTAGAAATATGGAGAGTAACTGCCTCTGTGTTACAAAACCTGTTACAGCTCAGAAAAAAAAAAAAGTTGGGAAAAAAAGCCAGTTCCTGAATCACTTGTTATTGTTTGTATTCACTAAATAAAATCTGTATTATAACATACAGCTGTTAAGTTAATGGCCAGATGATACAAGATTTGGAGTTTTGGAGAAGTGGAAGAGAAAGATCTGTGGGATTTTGGGTTAACCCATGGCTAGAGATAAGACTTCCAGGTGGATATATTGCAGACTAGAGGGAACTATTAAAATAATCTATTCAGAACATAAGCCAAAGAATTCTACTTCAGATCTTGATACAGGCTGGAATCCAGAAAGCCAACTGACTTTGTGGACATTAATGTCTGAGGCTTCAATTTGGTACTTTGCATACTTCAGATGTTTTTAAGTTATACGTGAGTACTCAAGAAACTTTAACAGGTAGTATGCTGGTGAGCATATGTGACATATACCCTACGTGGAGGTGTCAGAAGATTTTTAACTTGTACCTTGTTCTTTGCCCAATACTTTCAAGAAGCTATCCCCTACAGTTAGGCAGGGGAATATAATTTTTTTTTAAACAAAATCAAATTTTAAGAAATAACCTTCTCTTTCCTTTCTTTGATCAAGCAGATGTAATCCCCGTTGGAGTGGGAGAGCTCCTCTCATCAGCCTTACAGTGGTCAGTTATTAGAAGAGCAATGCACTCAAAATTCATCAGTTGTTCAGAGAGAACCAATTATGGGCAGCTTGATTTGGGGGATCGTATGTTAACTGTGCTTCTCTTCAGCAACTACCCAATATTTCCATGTGTGTGGGGCCAGGGATCCAAAAAGAGATGCCACCAACACCCCAGGAGCATGGCCTGAGTGGGAAATGGATAATCAGGCAGGGCAGTGGAGGGAAGAAAAGTCTTTCCTCATGACTTTTCTGGTAAAACTTAAGTCTACCTGTGATAATAATTTGCCGGACACTTTGATCATTCTTTCTAGTTTCCTATCTGCACAACTTTTCTTAGTTACTAAGAGGAATGAGAGATGAAATGAAAAATGAAATTAATTGGCTGCTATTTGTAAAGCACTCTAGAGGTTTTTGGCGTTGCACCCTTCCTATCATTCTTGCATCAGAGGTTTTCAAAATTTATGGAAACACAGGTGTCCCTGTTCATGCCAGGGGGGTTGGAACTGGCTGATTTTTAAGGTCCCTTCCAACCCAAATCATTCTATGAAGAGTTGAATTTGGAGATTGTAAAGTCCAACTGTCCTACTCAAAGTAAGTTACTTTGAACAAGTTGTTCAGTAAATTGCTCCGGCCTGTGTCCAGTCAGGATTTAGACGTCTGCAAGGATTGAGGCTCTGGGCAACCTGTCTCAATGCTCAACCATCCTGTCAGGAAAAAAATGTTTTCTTACATTCTAATGTAATTTAATGTGTTTCAATCTGTCCCCATTGCCTCTTGTCCTATCCAACTGTCTGAAAGGAAAGCTACTGACCCTGCACAACCTCAATTCAGTCCTCACTGACAGAATAGGAAAGCAAGAGGGAATATCAGAGAGGACTGGTGGCTGGGCTACTTCTGTCACCTGGAATGTGAAGGGACATTATTTTATGTCAGCTGTGAGAGCTGCAAGAGCCCTTGGACCTACAGCCAGTCTGAAGGATAATAGAGCCCTGATCTGAACTGAGAATGTGGATGGTAAGAGAGTCCTGTGGGCAACTGCAGTTAGTTACCATCTTTCTCAGCTAAACTGAACTTCAAACACAGATTTTGGATGACTTGTGAATGTTATCATGCTTGAGGGTGAGTAGATGTAAGGTTTTCATTCAGACCATCATACCATAACTAACAGATACCATGTTTACCTGGGGGAGAAGGACCAAAAAAAGAATATGCTTCCTTTTTCGTTTAGCTGGGAGTCAGAGAAAGGATCTTACCGCACATACACGTCCCACTCTGGTATATATGGCATGAGTGTTTGTCTCAACCTCTAAAGCTTTTTCAGTAAAGAAGAAATACACTTTGTTATCATCATGGTCTTCATTGTCAGGAATCATGTAGGAGCCAACAAATTTTGGTTCTTTAAAAGAAAACAGAGATGAATTGAGTTCAAGTTATTAAAACGTTCTCTTATTTTTTCAGTCCTTAAAATCAACTGGCAGTAACCAAAAAATAAAATTAAAAAACAGAGATTTGTCAATCACAGAGTTACCTAAGGGCAACCAGGTGATAGAAATAGGGTGTTCATGAACAATTTCATGGAAAAAATCCATAGTTTAATTAAATTCACCTCCAAATGGATATACATATTCACAAATATTATTTTTTTAATTTGTGGTTATACAGAAATTGTCTAGTCATCTGAAACACCTACGGTTCTTCCTTCTTCTGCTTCCCATACCTTTCAAAAGGCGCTCATTGTCAGGTTCAGTTCGGAGATGGGCCATGCGATTCATGGTGCGAAACAGGGCAGCATCTCTTCCCCAGTAGTCACTGTAGAGACCAGCAAAAAGTTCACCACCTGCAGACCATACATGAAAAAAAAAACCACAATGAAACAACTTGGTAATGTTCTAAATACTAATTTTATTGCATGTGATAGGTGCCACATTATAAACGTGGCTCATTAATATTTTATAAGGTAAGAAGGTGAGCTGGTATTATATATATAGTCTGACAAGCACATGGACATTGTTCCTACTAGCAGTGCAATATTTACAATTGGAGTAGCATGAGGACAGGAATTTAAAATTCATGAGTCTTGGTCTTATTTTCAAAACTGACTTAACAGGATAGATTCACAGAGAGAACGTGAGGGCATTAAATTAACATCTATCCACATCTGCCACAATAACATCCGACACATCAGGCACCTAAGTTCAAAAATCTCACTGTGGGCCAGTTAGTACCTGGCTCTAGGGACACCAACCTTTTGTTGGCACCTAAGTTTCATCAGTGCAAAGATTTTGACCAGTGATTTGCTGCTGAGCAGTTCCAGATGTGCCCTGGTCTTGTTAATGAGAGGAAACAAATTGCCTGGTTGAAGAACTGGAAGGGACGTGGTGGGTTTGTGAGGAGACGTAACAGGAGCCAGAAAGTGGGATGAAAGTGTAACAAGTTTTCAGAGAAAGCAATGCTTAGGATAAGAAGAGTGTTAGCTACACCAAACTACTGATTTGGTTACAGCTGAAGGCTAAACCATCCCTGAATCCACAGACTAGAACTCAAACATAACTGAGCACAGTTATGAGATTTGGCTTTGTGCAAAAGATGGCGGAAAAAAAGTCATACTGAAAATACTGGAGGGCTGGATGCGGTTATCTCCCCAGCTGGAGAGATAAGAAGCAGCACCTGCTACCTTAGAAGTGATTTCTATAAACAAGAACATATTTTATTAGGCTGAGGGGATTTTTCCAGTCAGCCTACTGGAGCTGTTCCACTTCCCCTGAAATAACTACAGTTTGGGAATAATTTGCTGGCCAAGGTGCTTCAGTGTTCAGCAGACAGAGAAAAAGGAACTATTTTTCTCTGCTACAGCAATAACTTGCTTTCATATCATTAAAATATTCATCACAGTAGGGACAGGACCTCAGATTTCATCCTTTCTGCACAACTGGTGATGAATATTTCCTGAAAAATTTATGGAAACAGAAACTGTATATAGGTAAAATTGGATTATATACGTTTAAAAATCCAGCCATCTAAAATTGTGATACTGGACATTTTACCTACTAAAATACCAACAATAATTATACCTTTTATTTATGTATGGACACTATTCCCCTTAGCTGACCAAGAATTAACAATAACATATTTCATATCATTGTGGACTTAGAATTTTTTTAGGGCCATTTTAAGAAGCGGGCAGCTATTGTCACTAGGTGGCATCCTTACGTTAGAAAATAACCCAGCAGGAATTAAACTGCACAAAGAGAGGGAAATAAATTATTTCCAGTTCGAGACTAATCTGAGTAGAGGTTTCAGTGACACAGCTTCCTTCCCACTAATCAAAATAAACATGGCTGATCCATCCTAATAACCTTTGCTAGCATTTATAAAGGTTTACAGCAAAAAGAAAGAATTTTGCTTTTTGGTCCCCCTCAAAGTGTGCATTTTGTTTCTAAGAGATACATATAAATTGAATGGTGCCATAAGTACTAATAATTATTCTGAAAAGTTAAGTTTGGTAACTGGGGCTGGTTTAGACACCTCTGCTGATCTGGAGATGAGCATACTTTTGCTTTAGGCTTCATTATATACTGAATGGATATTGCCCTGTAAAATACATGGACGTGATTTTGTGTAAAATATTGGCAAACAAAATAAAAAGTATAAATTATAACATCTGTAGAAGTTAAGGTTACCCAAAACTAATAGGGAGATTTATTTTTTAAACAGCACAGATCTGCTTAAACCACAGAATTTACCAGTGTCTATAAAGTGTTCCAAACAATCTGCACAACCCTAATTAAAGAGTTACATTAGTCATAAATCCCCCTTTAAGAATTCTGTTGGAAAAATATATCAGACTGGCTGGTATTCTTTTTAATTTTGGTGATGTGTAATGCAAAACAGGATGTTTTATCCTTTCAACACTGAAGTGAATCCTGGAAAATGCATCAGCGCAGGATAAATGATTCATCACATATTGCCAGTGATCAGGATTGACATCTGTAAGTCCAGATGTTCAGAAACTTGGATATGAAGTCTATTCCTTCTGTTTGACAAAGGTATAAAATGTTGGTATACATAACCAATCTGCTGGCATGGTAATCTTCCACATAATGAGGAAGTTATGACTGATTGTATCTGTGAGATCCTGAGGGGAGAATATGGAAGTTCCAGTCCTGGATGGATATTTTTCCATGAAAGATATTGTACACATACATAAATTAATTCTGATCTTTATCCTGAATGGTTACTAAGCTAAATACAAGACAAGTATCAAGTGTGAGCAGACAGGTCACTTCGCCCAAGGACAGCAATGGGACAGAACTGACAAGTGTGACTATTAAATATCTCAGCACAATAACATAATTCTGAGATTTTTTTTCACTTTTAACACTAAGAGGATCTTCCCTTGTCCTTTCCAACAGTGTTTTACTTATCCTTTAAATCCAAGTTACAAATTTTGAACGGAATTAGGTTTTTACAGGTGCTGACCAATTCCAGATTCAGTGACAACCTAAGACTGATGTTTGAAAAGTCCTGCAAGATTTCTACTCTTTTCTTCTCCATTGAAAATCTGCTATCAACTCACTCCTGTCTTTCTTGGAGGGCTTTCCACTGCTGCACATCACACTGATTAATCTTTACCTTTTAGTAAAAATCAGCAGAGTAACTTCACAGACCTTCACTACTCTTCCCCTCTTCCATCTAACCTCAGCTTCATGCATGCATGACAAATTAATTGCTAAAATTTAAGTTTTAGCACAGCCTGGTTAATCATGCTAAAACAAGAATAGAAACTTTCTTGTTTCCTTATTTAAGCAAACAAAAAAAAACTCCCATGGACCTCAAATACCAGTTTTAGCTCAAGTGATACATGCATGCATTTTACCTAACATTCTCTTCAAACAAACAAATATGTCAAAATTAATTTGGAACCATTTAAAATAACTTTTATTTTTGCCCTTTTCTCAGGGCAAAATATTAACAAAATCAAATATAAAATTTTTCTTCTAAACCCTTCAGAATTCCTAGAGGATAACCTTTAAAGTAAAATAGATTGAAGCATGTGATTTAATTGAAATAAAATAATATATACAAAAGATTTCTATAAATGGGCTTCTTCCACCTTAAAGGTGAGTTTCCTTCATTCGTTATTGGCATTTTTTGTGTACCTATTTTCAGTCGAAAGGTAATGCAAACACAAGCTATTATTCATCAGTAGTTATTTTTGTGTAAAATGGAAAATTCATGTTATGAATAAAGGATTAGAACATAATGAGTAGAACCTTTCATGTATTTCTTTGACAGTCAGTTATTACTCATATGACAAACAAAATCAGAACACTAATTCACATTTTAGCAAGTGATACTTCTCACAGTAGGAGAACAGCAAACTCAAAAGAAATTACCCATTGCTTAGCTGGTAAACTTCCTCTGTATATTGGTATTTTCTGTCTGTCACTCAAGTATTCTGTCTTTTGAGAGAAAATGTAGAGTAAAAGACACAAATACCTAAAACTATTTTAAAAGTAAAAGCAGAAAATATTATCAGAATGGATTCCATGCATATTAACATATTCAGATGTAGTTGAGGTTTTTCACCACTTGTTCATGATATATTGCAGGTAACAAAACATGGACTTAAACTAATTTCTCAACTTTCAAGAGCTAGTGTGGTCTAAGTTAATGAGTGTGCATGATCTGATATCAAAAATAGTTTTGGCTATTGAAAGCAGATGGTAGAGTTCATTATGAATAGAAGTCCAAAGGTTTAATAATCCTTTTAACTAAACATAGACATTTTATTCAGCTGGTTTACCATCCAATAGCTATTCTTTTTCCTGATACTGACAATAAATTGTTAAAAGTTAATCGTTCATAAATTGAGGAATTCATCACAAGCTATTTTACCACCAGGTCAGATAATCTACAACAAAACTTGCAACAGCACAGATACTTAGTTTTAAAGCCAAGTCACGAACTGTTGTTTTCTTGAAGTGGGTATTTTAAGTGTTGTGTTGAAATACATGAAGAGATGCAGAAGAAGGGATTGTCTTTCTTCCTAAATTAATCCAACTAAATCTGATTCTAATTAGTTATGTTGCAAATGATCTTTCAAGATCAAGAGTTTAAAAGCTTTTAAACTTTTATCAGAGGTATGAAAAGTTTAATTGTTAGCCTAATCCTCATTGTTAGACAATGACCATGTTGGTGTAGGCTGTGTTAATGCGAGTGGCAGAGGTGGGAGCAAGTTTTGAATAGTTTCCTTAGGAAGAAGAGGATGCTGTGTTGTGAAAGCCTTGGCTAACAGGTTTGCATAAAACCTTTTAAGGGACACCCACACTGGCTGAACCTACATGGGAGAGTGGAGACAACTCTGGGGTGCAGCCTCCAAGGGCACCCTGACTTTGTACCAGGAGTGTGGATTCCACTTTCTGAGAAAACTGGAGTGCATGAAGAAAAATTGAACTTCCAAGCACTGGAAGACCAATCCTGGAGGGTGGAAGCAGTAGTTGTCTTCTCCTGTCATGGGGTCATGGTCATCATGAGCTGTGATCAGGGCATGGTTGAATAAAGGAGTACACTTGGCATTAGAAGTCTGTCTCATTTTCAAATTTCAGTTAAAAGATTCTTAATATTCACAGTGTTTACATCTATGTCTTCTACTCTTTTCAACTGACTGCCTAAAGAGACAAAGAACATATATCCTGGAGTCTAAGGAGCAGAATTAATTTTGTTTATTCTGTAAACTGTGTGTCTATGGTTAGCACAAGTTGGTAGAATAAAGTAGAACACATGGAAATTCAAAGTTCATTAAGATATTTTTCCTAAGTGTTGGAAGTGTTTAACTGCAATAGTTAAAAATAGAAAAATATAAATAAAATAATAAACTCTTTGAAGAATTCCATTATGCTTTTAAAATATCATTGCATGATCACTTGAAATTATAGAATTCCCAATGTTTGCCTGGAAAAACAGCCTCTGAATACCTTCCTCAGGTCATATTAGTCTTGATGAAGGGGTGAAAGTTAGTCTGTTTTTTAGTGCTGTATCAGTGATCTGATAAAAATATTATTTCCTCCTCTTAATCTTGTCACATTATAGAATTAACTAGCTTTGTAAGATTGATTTTATGTCTTTGCCAGTGGATGCTCAAGACTCTGCTCAGTATTTATCAGGGAAGGGCTTATTTAATGAATTTCTTCTTCAGATAAAAATATGAGGATCCATAGGACCTCCCATAATTCAGGCAAATTCTTGAAGTGCTCAGTGGGACAATCTGGCTTCCATTTAAGCAAATAAAATTCATATTGATCTCACAGTAGGAACATGATCGAGTTAATTTATTTACTTAGTTCTTTTTGAGGAAAGGTTGGACTTCAAGATTAGACCATGAGGTTTCAGGCCTACAGCAAATTCTGTTGGATGAGTCTTTGTTCCCAGGCTCAGCTAAGATTGGAATCTTTCAAAAACTGTAGAAACAATTTAGGAGTCAGGGTGGGATAAAAGCATAACAATCTGTGCTTCATGGATTTTGGAAGGTCAGTCAAATAACAGCAGTTTTTTCTGATTCTTGCATGACTTCTTAACCCACTAACTCTTAAGAATTAGAGCTCTTTTTTTTTGTTTTTGTTTTTTTTTTTGTTTTTTTTAAATGGCAGTAAAGAATATTTTGATAAATTACTGCATTTGAAAGATTTTGCATTACTCCTGAAGATTCTTCTTCTGATTAATTTATTAATGCAAAGGAGCAAATAAATCTGGCATGTAAAAGTATACCTGTCACTCATGACCAATACTTCCCTTCCACCAAGGGTGAACCATATCACTGTAGTCAATGATCAGAAACTTTATCTGCCTGATTTTAAAATGCAAAGCCAAATGTAAATATCAAAAGGGCCCTAAAATCCTCTAGTTTTTTTATCCTTGAAAAGTAGAAAATTTATTTAATCTTTTGCCTCTTTCTTCTAGCTCTTTCTTTTAATGAATATTCTTTTTGAATTCTCAGGTTTTATTTGTGTTTTCTAAAACCAGAACTCATCATTGTGTTACTCCCTAACTGCATCTAGCTTTTGCTCTTTACCTGCTATTTCAGGCTATCTTTAGTCAATGTACTATAATACTACTAAGAATGCCTTTGCTTGATCTCACAACATGTTTTCAAGAAAACATTATATAGGAAAAAAGATATGGTTTGTTATATCGCAACTTCAAAGATCCCAGTCCTACAGTGATATACTCACCAGCAAGGCACAGAGGAGCACTATCTCAACACAGCTTCCTGGCACTGCAGGACATACTGAATTCTATTTTTATACTTTGAGTATAAGATCAACACTTCTAATATTGAATCACCACTTTGGGAGAGTTTTGTTAGAAGACGACATTGAAAACAAATCTATTTTGTCTCAAAGGTGGTAATTTATGTAAACAATGAATTCTTCATATAATCACAGTTAAATTCAAATTTTTACAAGATGCTTGTAGCTCAGATTCTCAGTAGATGAAAAATAGTAAATTTTGTGTATTTGTCTCAGCAGTGTAAATGTCTAAACTAGGCATATTGTTTTACTTTTAAGGAAAGCAGGAAATTATTAATTCCAAAATTACACAACAATCAATTACTTTCAGGATGGCACATGTCATTCAACATCTCATTTCACTGAGATACCCTTTCTGCAGTTAATAGTACCTGTAATGTAATATTAATGTGGGCAGCACCATGAGGATTAAGTCTGACATATGGAAGGTTGCAAATGGAAGACTGACAACACTTCAGAGTGCTGAAGAAAGAGACTCAGAATGACAGATTGACAGGACCGTGAAGCTTGTGACATAAAGATCATTACCAATTAAGATGGAGGTGAAGGAAGAACTGGGGTCAAAAGGGCACCTGCCTCGTCCTCTCTCAAATTTGTGCGATTCCAGTTGAAACAGATGATCCTTAAAAAAAAAAAAAAAAGAATCACAAAGAACACTGTGAACCCCACAGGCAAAGAAACAAGTCCTGAGAGAAAAGCTTTAACTTGGTTATACCTTTGTAATGGATTGACTTCATTAGGGAGAAAACACAATTATGGTTGCTTACTGATGTACTAGCAAAAAAATCTCTGGGTTTCTACAAATCACCATTGTGTGTGCACTGCCCAAAAAGAACCTGAAAAATATGCACTAGAATTACACTTATTTCATTTCTGTGGGAGTAGGGAGGGAAGTTTCTTCTATCTGTTCTTCAGATTATCTAAACATTAAATAGATATCTAGCCATGGAATGTGTTTTCCCCCTTGAAGCATTTTTTTCCCAGTAGTTGTTAAATATATCATACTATGTTATCTTCTCTTCATAGCTTTGAGATGTTTATAGATCTTCTCCACAGAAGTATGTTTAGGAATGAATCTCCAGTCATGGTTTTCAGAGCACTGTGATTTTTGCAGTGGATTTAACAGAATATCAGTATAAAAAAATATTGGCAGCTTGATTAAATTTGTCTGTATAAGGCTGTAAAGACTGAGAAAGAATTTATAATTTAAATTCTCATTTGCAATGCTATACTTGTCTCAGTTTTCACAAAAAAGTCCGCTAATTTCTGATTAAAATATCAAGTGAGAGCAAAATATTTTTAATTTAGATATTACCAAAACACCATACCACAAAATACAGGGATAGGGGAGAATAGAAGGGCAAATAAAGTATGAAAGCTTGATAAAAAATACACCACACAGCCATCAAATGTGTGACTACCAAATATTTCAATAGTTTAGCAGTTCCAGTTCTGTGTAACAGTTTTACTCAAAAGTCTACTGAAATGCAGAATATATTAATATACTGGATAAATGCAACCTACCAGTGTATTAAACTAAATCTCAAGTTCACATTGATCATATATGAGGCAAATATTTTGTGAGGCATAAAATCACATGCAACAGGAACCCAAATTCCCCAGTATTTTAAGGAGGAACTGCCTGGAGCTCTCCCTTACAGCAAACATTTTCAAAGAGGTCCAAGAGACTTTTTAATCATAAATATCAGGTTTTATTAGACCTAATTTTTCCAGTATTTATTAGAATAACTCAATACTCACACAGAATAAAGCTCGATATATCTAGACCAGACAAAATAATCTCCTGGTATTCTTCATTTGAGTATATATGGTCCATTCAGTCCTTATGTCATTATAGCAAGGGATTTTTTTCTGATATTGGTTACATTCATGTATTTTTGGGGGGTTGTAGTATATGCTGTGTCAGTTCCTAGAAAGTGTTGGTTTTGAGAGGTACAGAAACCTGATTATGTGTCTGCTCTCTGCAATGCTGTATTCTTCACTCTCCTTCAGATCACTCACCTGTATCCTCCCATCCTACTCTACAACTTAAAAATCTTCCCAAGCAAGTGCAATTGCCCTAAAACCTAAAAAAAAATATTCCCCTCAGGTAGCTCCACTCATGACAATTATATTGTCATGAAAAAGAAAAAAAAAAAAAAGCCCAGCATAAAAAGACAGGGAACAAGGAAGTAGAAGGTGGAAAACTGAAAAGATACTAAGAAATAATATTTTAAAAGGTCAGAAGGACAGAAAGAAAAAAAGATATAGGAAAAGTGGGAAAGTTGTAGAGCTCTTAGTTCCTTCTAATTGATAAATAATTTAATATTTCTGTGCATTTCATCTAAAACAGTTAATCTTGGATTTGTCACCAGACCATCCACTTCAAAGCAGTATTCACATCTTAATACCCAGTCAGACAAGCTGATGTACCTGTCTTCCATTCCCAGCTGTCTAATAATACATGTAATTTCGATGGATGTTCTGGTAAAAAAGTAAGATTCCTATTAGTTAGAGAGTTTCTGTAAAAAAATGGGATGCAATTTAGAACGCAGTTCTGAAGAAAAAAGGACATCTGTTTTATGTCTATTTGCAGTGGAAAAAGTCACCCTACAATTAAAAAAAAAAAAATAGAGAAAAGGAAGGAAAAATACCATACAAATTTTAAGTAACGTTCCTAAAACTCATGAGGTAACAAGGTGTTCTTACTCTCATCTCTCCAGAAGCCCTTGTGTTGGCCTAACCCTTGCACAGCAGTTAAAACTGATGTAGCAGAAAATAACCATCCTGAGTGGAGACTGGGGGTGCAGGAATATTGGTTTCTGCTGCATCAGCAGCAACTGCACATCAGTAGTAACTATTGCCCGTCTGCTGTTGGGTAAATGTCAAACAATGAAGAAATATTTCTCTCTGTGTGGAAATCTCAGTCCCATTCCGTACTTTTCAAACATCACATACCATGTATTTTTCAAAACTAAATACCATAACATTTTGAGTGAACAATGGATAAAAAAAGAATAAGATGAACTCAGGAGGGGAAAGAAAAACTTCCTGAAACCATGTAAAGGAAGTTGGGAGTCATAATGACATAACATTTGATGTCAAGGAAATATTTATAAAAACAGTCTGATGTTATTTATTCTTTAATTGGGTATTAAAATTATTCATGTAAAAGATTCACTTTGGGGTTTTCAGTTAAACTATTTGTCAATGAATCAGTAATCACCAGTAATCAATAAAGATGTAGAAGTGGAGAGACAAACTGAGAGTTAAAAGTAGTCTTAATGCTTTCTGCTTAATTTTCCTCACATTAAAATAAAAATAGATGTCTCTAGGAAAGGAAGAAGTAATAAATTTAAAACTGCTTGCAGAAAAAAAAAACACAGGTAAAGTGATCAGCTGTGGGGATAAAATTGTTTTGAAACCATACTTGAAGAAGTTGTAATATCCACACTTTCTGGTTTATAGTGTATGGGTCACATTTTGTCCTGCATAGGGAATAGAAACTGGATTTTGTTCTGTAGGAGAAGACATGATCCCACCAGAGTGTCATAAACTACACTTCATAACTAACTAATGTAGTTCATAACTACTAATGTAGTTAACCATTTCCCTGAGAATCAGATTTAAATCAATGGTAAAGACAAGCCCATCTCTAACGATCGTTACATGAATGTGTTTAAAACAGCTAAAGATATGGTTGTGGAATGAAAATGTTAAGCAACATGTGTAGTATCCTTTCATTATCTACATTTTAAAAGTTGAAATTTATGAAAAAAACACTGTAGCTTAAACACATAATCTAATGTTAACACTGAAAGTAGAAAAAAACTTGGATTTCAGTGCAATTTGGTGGAATTTTTCAGTGGAGCTCACCAGTTTTGATATAAAGCAGGATGTGTTTTTCATAAATGTTTGCAGATGCATGTAACTGAAAAGTCACTGAAAATGTAAGCAATGGCTCCTTCAAGAGAGATTTTCCACCTTCACCTTTTAAGACAACATACCAAATATTCCATGGTTGCAATAAGTTATTCCCATCACTGGAACAAGTAACTGAAGTTCAGGTGTTGGATGTGTCAGCTTACATGGGATGCCAGTTTAAACGAAACAAGCGTTACACATTAATAATCAGCTTTGAAGGCTAATTCCTTAATTCCAACCCTCCTTGCAGTCTGTGACATTGGAATCCCTTGAGAAATGTCAGAATAAAACTGACAGTTTCCTCACAGATTATACAGCACATCAATTCAACATCACAATTTATTTTATGGGCATTTTTCAGTGATTATGGTTAAAACTATGGAAAAGCACATATGGAGGGTTGGGAGTGGAGTTACGTATTTCTGAATGTAGCTTGGGAAAAGAAATGGGGTTCTGGGTTTGATTTATGACACAGTGACTCAGGAAACATAATACACTTTCAACTATTATTAAAATAATAATGCTCTTTTAAAAGAAATAGAAGATATTTCCAATACATCAAGCATTTTTCCATTAACTGGGTATGAATTGATAATTTTAGACAATGAAGAATAATGTAGGCTATAAACAATAGTGAGAGGAAAGGTCAATCAGAGACATTAAAATTTAAAGACTGAATTTAACTTTTGTTGCAGAAAATTGCTTTCACTTATGCCAAGTACTGCTTTGCCCTGGTTCAAGACAACACTTATGCATGTGATTAATTTAAAACATATGCTTGCTTCCATTCCTATCCATCAAAGTACTTAAGCCTATTCTCAACATTAATACAATGACTGTATCTTTTCCCTAAACCAGGGACTTAAAAATGCAGAGGGTTTAGTTGTGTTTTCCTAGAATATTATTTTTATGAGAGAAAAAGAATTTGATTTTTTAAGGGTTTGTGTTTGGGGTTGTTTTTTTTTTCACTTAAAATTTTTATTATTTTTTAAGTAACAAGAAGTAAAATATACTGGCATTTTTTTAAAGGAGATTGAAACCATTTCATAACCTTTAATTGCATCCTAAACTGTGTATGCATGTGCTCCAACAGTACCACCACTCTGCTCTCCAGGAGACTTGTGCATTTTTGTGGTTGGTACTGTTTTCTGGTTGTTTTGATTTTATTTTTTCTTGTGTGTGGTATGTTTTAATTTGTTTTTGCTATTTTTTTTCTAGGGAGTCTACGTTACTTACATTGCTGAATAGTAAATCATATTTAGAGTACTGTGGAGACAGGCTGTACAGATTTTTGTGATAGTTTTAAACACTGGCTATACTCTTCACTATTGCTCTAAGGCACTGGACAAAATTCATTCTTAGCTTTAATGATTTCATAGTTCTTCAACCTTAGAGTAAGAGTGACATACATGCAAGAGCTATTTGTTGCATTTTATTTCTAGGGGCCGTGTAATTTATAACTTTATGAAAAGAATTAGGAATAAGAAGGTTCACATGCAAAGTGAATTGAACAGGAAAGTGTGAAATAGAGATGCATTGCTTTGTGCAAAGCTATGAGAAACTCTCTTCTAAAATTCTTAATAAAGCCATATGGTGCTAGTGTCATATGATGAGCTCTTTTTCAAATTCAATTAATTCTTCAAACATAAAAAAAGGGAGTGTAGACACCAAAGATTCACCATATTTTATCATAGTGTC